GGTGAGCAGGGGAGAGTCGATGCCTCAAAACTGTGTGAGTCAGGGCCTTCATGCGAGCGGCTCCGCAGAGAATTAAGAAGAGACGCTTCTGAGCACGTAGTCCATTTCTTTGGCTGTGGAACTGGTTTTATATTTGCATTTAGACTGAAGTTAAGTCGACACAAAGCAGAAACGGGCATATATCAAAAAGTTCGCTGATATTCTCAATAATACTGAAGTGCTAGCAGGCCTTCCCATCTGCAAGTCATCCTGGGCACCGTATTGAGCTAATCGTCAGGTCAACGCCAAACTAAGTTTCGTGTAAGCGGACACCTTCACAGTCTAAAGAAAAGACAGAGCAGCAGGCGATTGATTTGCGGAGAAGGCAAAGTTCAGGATAAGTGTAGTGCTTCATCCATGGTATTCATACAGAACCTTATCCCCATAAAACAGTCAAAACTCGTTGACACGCAGCAGAAACCATTCGCACGATTTCCTGTTGCGCTACTCTTGTCATAAACCTGGGGAGTTCCGGTTTAAAAAGGAGAAAAGAGCTCGAATTTGCGTGATTGCACCCTCCTAGCACCCATAGCTTTCGTTTTTATTTGCGCTGCATCCTCTGAGCACGCAAAAATTTCCTTTCCATTTGTGCGTTATAGCGCTCCACACAGGTGCACTGCATTTATGTTTGCACTGTGGATATAATCCTAGTGTGCATCGAGTAGGCTGTAACAACAGCCAAACACTTTCTTGATTTATAAACTGGTTATTGGGCAATCTATCTAGTGTACTAGGAAGCGCCCTGAGCCCAGCTTTTGGCACGCTGCAGCAAGCACAAGAGCGAGCTTCATGACGCATTTGCCAGGGGGTGGATGCCTGAAAGCCACTGCAAACTTAGCGTGTTTCTTCCAGGAATAGGGTTTTTCATAGACTTCCGGGTGTCTGATACTAAAATTGCAAGATCCGGCAATGGTCTTCGGGCATGAGGTCATTGAGATAAAGGAATATCAAGCACTACAGCGGCTTCTTGTATCATTAATTCCATGTGAAGAAAAAAAGATTTTTTAGATTTGATGGAGCACCGCACTACAGGGGACATCACGGGAGGTGTGATAGGCGGGCTGCGAAGTCCGAGAGGAATTTACCGCAGCTTCACTCTCTCTTCCTACCGGTGCTGTACTAGTGGCAACTAATTTCAGTGCCTACATTTCACGCGGTTTGAGCTTTCGGAGGGATAGAAGGGACTTTACGGCCCACTCCATAACTCCCAAGACTGGCTAGCAGCTGAGCCAAGCATGCCCAGACCCCCTGGTCCACAATGCTCAGTAACCCCGGTGTGCGCTGCGGCGGCAGCACATGTATCGAAGGCTGAAGGCGAAACATTCATTACAGTAGCTGCTATCATATCAGTGTAAGGAGGACGACGCGAAGGAGGATGAACAGCCCTTTTTAATCGAACTCGGGGACCAGACCAGCACAAATGCCGAGGCACGCGCTGTATCTCTTCTACGCAAAATTTCTTCCTCGATGATGATACCCCGCCTACTCCCATTACCATTTTGAGCGCCGAAAACAGAATTACACACAGGAACGAGCGAAATATCTAGCATTCGCATATATTGTACGACAGCAACATCAGGCCCCCTCTCGATCCATCAGAGGCAGGCTTCAATGGGCATGTCTTACGCAAATTACGGAGCACCAGAAGCGACAACAGAAACAAGAAAGGTGGTATCGGGAGTATCACTGCCAGTAGGTGTTACATCAACTCCGGCATTGACGGGAGGCCGCGCACTACCAAGAACGAAGCTGCTTCGATTCACGACATTTGTAGGAAGAGTACCAACCATATTTCCCAGAGATGGTACGCATTTGTTTTGACTCAAAAACCACATGTGAACCTCCCTCTTCCCCCGATATGCTGTCACAGGACGCAGGTGAGCCTTCTCATGGACATGCTCGACATGAGCGACACCATCATTCAGGCTCCTCTGTTGCCTCCTGGAGGGGCTTCCGTGGAAGCTCTACAATGACGGGAGCTCCTGCGATCCTCTCGATGAGCTCGCATGATTTTGTTCTGCTGGATCGCTTGGAGCGTCGCGTGGACGCGCAGAGTTTTGCAACCGTTTTGAAAGCCTACTTGGTTGTCAAGAACAGGCTTGCGGCGAGGCGTGCAGACAGGGAGTTTAGGGAACGAAGGCAAGGCAGTGGAGCAGGAGCTGAAGCGGGAGGTGTGGGTTCAAGGAATTCCCGGTACAAGAAGATAAACAGCCGAGTCGCCCTGATGGATTCCAATGCAGAAAGAGCAGAAGTGGCTGGATCCCATATTGCGAAACGCCCCAGCGTCATTCGTCGTCTGTGGTCTTTCAAGAAGACTAGCTCCAAAGGGGACAGTGGAGGAGACGCTGCGCGAGGACGGGCTTTAGGAAATGGGGCAGTTTCGAGGCCTTCAGAGTCTCCTACTGAACGGGCAGCGGCTGTTCGGGCACAAGGAGATTATCCAAGATCCCTGGCGGAGTGGGAAGCAGAAGAAACCTTGTTGGAGCAGCGTCTGGCCTTCTTGGGGTGCCGCACAGTCACGGCAGTCGGCGACGGGAACTGCCAGTTCAGGTCGTGCGCATTCGGACTATTTGGTTCAGAAGACTGGCACAAAGTTGTACGGAAGAAAGCAGTTCGCCACATGCGAATACACACGCAAGAATATGCGGACTTTTTTGAGGGGCCCGCCCTGGAGGTATATTTTAAGGACATGGAGCGGAGCGGGACCTGGGGTGATGAACTCACGCTAAGAGCAATAGCGGATGCTTTCTGCTGCACTATACACTTAATCACTTCAGCTCCTGCTGGCTGGTATCTTCGCTACGACCCAGAGAAGGAGGGAGAGCAAGTCGTTCCCAAGAGACATCTCTTCCTTACGTATATTTCTCCTATACACTATAACGCATTTTACCTAAAAAACGATCTGCGCTGAACGGTGCAGTCACCCCCCGTGCAATGATTGCTTCGCACAACACGCGAATGAGTCCATTTTTACACTTGACTTTGCTTGGCGGGGTTGCGAGGGGACGAGGGATTTAGGCGCGGGGGAGATGGGCAGAACGAACGGGCGCCACGCAGCTTGTCTGTTTATCTATTCCATTTTTCGCTCGTGCTCCACGGGGTGTGCTCTGGCTGCACTTTCTTACCAACCTTGGATCCCAAGGGGCAGGTTTGCCTCTACTGCGTGGTGTGTTTCTACCCAATAATGGTGGTTGACGCTACTGCTGCCGTGAACTTTGGCTGTTGGAGCGGCAATACCACCGAGGCCCGCGCAGTACACAGCATCGGAAAAAAGGACAAGGGCAGATACGGGTGTGTCTGTGTATGGATATCTATGGATGGTAATGAACAGGGTAGCAACAACGAGCACCACTGCGGATGTTGTCAGTGGGTCTCATTGTTGCTTCAGCTCTCAACAAAGCTGCAGTAGCTTTTTTTCGTGCGTTGATACATTCCTCCCCTTGCCGGTTGATCGTGCGCCCTTCAACGACGCTATTTTTGTGGTTCTTTTTGGTTTAAGGCTTAGAAGCCACGCCACGGCTGCAGTGTAGTGATGCCCTTAAAAAGCAGGCCCAGAGCAGACAGGTTCGAGCTCATATTGGGGTCACCGGCCATCCCGATCGCGCGTACAGCCAGTAGAGGAACTCTGCATCATTCGGGCAGACGCACGCGTCGCAAGCACAGAGGCGTGAGAGGATCCTCCCATGCAGGGCTTAGAGAATAGAGACTTGGGTGTATGGAAGGCCTGTAAACCGGGACGCGCTAGCCAGAGCAGCAACAGCTGCATAATAAAACACGGGGGAGAGTGCGAAATACACTGCTGGGGAGGCAAACCAAATGCAGAGTGAGAGGTGGACTCGGGAGCCGAGGATGGCAGCTCACTGCTCTAAGACGACGTGAAACTCTCCCGGGAACCGGCCGTCCGTTATTTTGGAAACATTCGGCAGAAACTGACGAAGCGCATGCAGCAGCACATCGTCTGGTAGGGATTTAGGGGATCGCCATTGCAGCGCAAGGCAAAGATCCGCGCACTCAGAAACTTTTGTTGCCGCTTCCGACGGTGCTGCTGTTGCTGCTGGCGAGGCGGCCTCACGGGCAGCGCTGCTGCTGCTGGGCTGATCTTGGCCTTCCTGCTGCAACGCATTGAGTCTCAGGTCGTTGAGGATCTTGAAGGCACAGCAGTCGCCGTGCCTTTCTCTGTATTGCTTCCTTATCCGCAGCCCGCAGCCTAAAGCTGAGTGCCGACACTTTACGAACTTTTGCATGTTTCTGTACCTGAGCGCTCCACACCACACCACCACTCGGTGCCCCTAGAGTCTGCGCGCCTACCCCCGCCCCTTCCCCCCCTCCCTCCCCACTAATAAAGCCGAGGAGACTCCCAGCAGCATCATACTTGTACAGCAGGAGGGCTCAATGGGATAAGTCCTTCCGCTTAGCCTCCCCCCTCTCCAAAGCGACTCAAGAAGGGGTCACCAGGGGCCCCCTTCAACTCTGAAGCCTAGCGAGAGGCCCCCCCCACTAGGACAAAGCGCGGGCGGCTGCTGCCTGAGGGGAGGGTGTCTGTGTGTGTGCGCGCGGGAGGATTCGAAGCTAAGATGTGCACACACCTGCATCGCGGCTCGTGAGTCTGTAAGAGTTCTTCAATACCCCGAATTTTACAGCCCGAGAGATAGTGAGCACAGCAACGTACCGCCGGGTTGAAACGGCACCGATTCTCGTGGAGCGATGCCTGTGCCGCAACAAAACCCGCAGCAGTACAGAAAACAGAACGAGATAACTGCAGCAGCAGCGGATGAGCATTATCCGTGTGTGAGGGTAAGGAAAGTGCATCAACAGCAGCACGCAAGGATCGTCGCGGCATAGAGTCTCTTGGCGCCTGTCTCAACACCTGACCTCTTTCCGCAAAACGGGGGTGCTGCAGCCAGCATCTCTGAATCTACAGAAGATGAGGACGTTGGGGCATGTGGCCTCGTGGGCTTCCACTTCAGAAAGGGGGCCCTCCACGCGACAGCCGCCTTCGTAGCCGAGACAGCGGACCCTCAAGGCTCGCGTCTGAGGAAAAGGTGCGCAGGAAGCTCGAGTTGAGGGTGAAAATTGTTCGTAGAAGGAAACAGTATGCTGATGTGGCTTAGGAGAGCGTCCCACAGGTATGTGTGCATGCAGATTCACAAGTATCCTGAAAGGTAGAGAGCAGTGCGAGAAACAAGGAGGCAGGCAGGAGGAACAAGGAGTGTCTTCAGCTAGAAAGATCATTGGATAGGCATCACAAAGTGCACTTTGTCTACGTGCATCGGCTGTAGTGCAATCGCTTTTCTGCAAATACCGACAGTGCGCAAGTTTTTGTTTCGTCGCCCTCCTTACCCTAGCAGATCTCTCGCCGGAGATGCTGCTGATTCCCAGGCCCGCGTTAGCCGACCTGCACATGGGGCAAGCCGTTGACTGCTGATGAATGATGCGGGTTGTAATGTGGCTGTACAGACAGTGGAGGCAGAAGGAGTGGCCGCAACGCGTGCTGCAGTTTGCAGCCCCGTCGTAACATATCGGACACTTAAGCTCCTCGGGCACCTCATCCACATACGTCCGCCGCACAGGGACCAGTGTTCCCAGGAAGCCAGCAGGGATTGCTGCTTCAGCTGTGGATGCAGATGCCGCCTCCGTTGTAGGGGCCCCTGGCTGGTGGGAGGCTGCAGATGCCGAGGAAGAGGAAGAAGCCCCCATTGATTCGCCTGGTAGCGCTGCAGCATCGATGGCAGCACCAGAGGCACCCGGACCCGTCATTTTCTATGAAGTTGCTTCGTGTAGTGCTGCTGCGTGCGAGGGCTTTTGAGGTGTATGGCATGGGCGCATGCTTGAGGGTCCACGATGCAGGAGGAGAGCCTTTCAGCAAATACAAAAGCGAAATGCGCCGAAATAATAGAGGGAGTATTTAGGGTGTAATTGTTGGCAGGAGGCAATGAGGGGCTCGGGTGGTGGGTGGGTCGGTGGGTGGGTCGGTGGGTGTTGTGGTACCTAGAGCAACCAACTCCTTGGTGAGGTTGCTGCCACAACTTGCAATAGGCACCTCTCCATGAAGGCCAGGCGGAGTTTCACGGTTTTTCTTTAACGTAAATGTTATTTATAGCCTTCCGCTCAACATCAGTCCATGTAACTCCAGGCTTTCTTTGCAGGGTGCGGGGGGAGTGCCAGAAAGTGGCCAACGAGCGTGAGTGCAACACCACTCACTCATGCAGCGAGTGGGTCCTCCCGTGATATCGCTACCCCTGTTGCTCTGCTTGACTAAATACTTATGGTAAGGGTTTAGACGCATTGTAGAGTCAAAGTCTGGAACCCCCCTGTGTGCGTACCCTAACTGTAAAGACAAGCCAACCGATACGTTTTTCCTCAACTGGACTGGGGGCTTGGGGCCCCAGCTGGTGTGACCAGAGGGCCCTTCTTCGCCGAAGCACTCCTTAACATCCCACAGTTAGAAGCAAGAGAAGGGTTGATAAAATGCGCGCGCGCACAGTTGCCCGCGACTCCCAGAGTTCCGCTGTAGGCGGAGAGCCATGAAGTGTAGGCTTCGGGAAGCAACACAACTGAAACCGAATCTGTTTGGGGCGCTGCATCGCGCTACCAGTGCTCCCAAAGCATAAATCACATGTAGAGGCAGAGTCTGGCGACACCTTTGCCAGCCCTAGTGCTATCTGGCACCGATCCAATGCATATACTAAGATTTGGAAGTAGGCTTGTCTGAAGCAAAAGAAACACGGGTTTCGTGCCTGGTCTGATACTTTAGTCCCAGAGTTTAAAAAAGATGCACATTCGACGGTGAGCAAACCTCACGTGGATGCACAGCCTCGCTGCATTTCCGTGCAGTGACCCCACAAACACCGCGAAATCCCTACGAAATACTTTCTGCTACTGTATCCAGTTCACCGCAGCGCCTATCCGCATAAATTCGCCCGTGTTCCCACTGCTTTGCAGCGATCAGCAACACTCGTCCAGCTGGGGAGTCCTCATCGTGGTAAGGAAGCTCTTCCTGCCAATGAGGCCTTCCAGCACGCCGCAACGGGAGATAAGACAAGTCCTAAACAAACAGCAGAAGGGGTCCACATAAGAATATCTGGTAAGCAGTAAAGAAACGCCGGGGACACATGCCTGCCTCCATAGTGCGAGCAAACAAGCAGAAACCGCAGCAGCATATTTATTCCCATCGGCAAGTTGCAGGCCCGCTACCCGCATCCCCGGAGCAACCTAGACACCCGCACACAAGCGGCAACAGCAGCAATGCAAAAGCGGCACAGCAGGGAGTAGCGCACTCGCATTGCAGCAATCCAAACATTCTATACACATGCAGAAGGGGAGTGTGGGGCGGCAGCTGCAGCACTTCCTCATCGACCAAGAGGGAGAGATCCACAAACACCTGGTGCCCCGCTAGGGCCTCCCCAGCAGCAGTACTGCCACATCCTTCCGTTGCAGCAGTATTACGATCTGATGGATGACAAATGGGGTCCATCTGCGGCTGCATTTCAACACAGCCCGCAGGAAGTCTGCCGGTGCTGCACTTTACTGCTGCTGCCAGTTTTCCAGCCTGCTCACATGCCACCCCTCCACCTTCTGCAGCTACTGCTGCTGTAGCGATCACTGGCGGAATTCGGAGTCGGCCGTCTGCTGCCATCTGCAACAGCGGGAGAGCCTGCAAGAGACCACCTTCCTGGTCAAGGATGAGGAGTGATACAGACGACCTCAGGGCCTTTTCCTGCAGTTTTTGCTGCCTCTGCTGCAGGGGGACTCCGCCAGCAACCGTAACTGCTGAGCGGAAGGCATAGAAAGACACCAACGTGTGTGCATGCACAAGGGGGTGCTCCAGCAGCAGCAAATGCTGCAGCAGCAATCGCAACTGCCACGCATGCAGATATCCACAAAGTCGCTTGTTGCTGCGCGAGAGAACGAGGGGAAAGCCGTGGAAGGAACATCTGCAACAAACACAACACGCATAAGAACGTTTTTTGTAACTGCTTTTGCTCCTGCTGTCCGTGTGGGGAAGGGGGGGGGGAAGCCTGGCCAAATGGCACTCTAGAACTTCACATAGGGCCGTGATGCCAGTTGTTGCATGACATCAAGAGCTTGCCAACGACTGCCGAGGGTTTATCATGAAAAAAAAACTAATATATGTATGTGTGCGCGTATTTACGTGTCAGCCAAGGCTTTCAGACTCGCGAGGGTGAGGCCTTCGTCAACAGCCACGACGCACACATCCTTCTTCATCACTTCCTCCGCACTCAGTCCGTCGAAACAAACCTGCAGCAGTGTAGGCGGAGACTCACTCACGAAGCCACGACTAAACCTTCTAGATCCCTTTTCAAGCAGAGACCGTGCAACAGCGAGCAGGGGCACGCATTCGCAGACATCCATCCCTCCATCCACACATACAGACAGACATACAGATACACATACAGATACAGGCAGACAAAGGAAGACCGACACAGCCACGCTTCCATGCACACGCCCCCACATGAGACGTGCGCGCACTTGCACACACGAACAAGCAGGAACACGCGTAGAAGGCAGGCCCACGTGTGGATTACTGAGAGTATAAGCGTATGGAGAGTGCTGTTGAGCACCCTGAGAAGGGAAGCGGACCTGGCCCTCATTGAAGAAGAAGGGTTGCTTTTTGAAGCGAATAAGAGCAGCATAGAATCCGCCCTGCTGTGCCCGTGCGCTGAGGAGCTTGGCGAAGGCAAGGGAGAGGAGGAAGGGAAGAGCCAGAGCTGCGGAAGTCTTTGTGACTTCGATCAAAATCACAATCAGAGCAATGTTGGTCTGCGTAACGCCCCCCAGGAAGGAGACGGCTCCCACCAGCGCGTAGGCTCCAGGAGTGGCAAAGCCTCCAAGCGAAGCGGCCGAAGAGGCAAAGACAGGGCGAAGGCGCAACATCAGCAGGCCCAGGAGACGGCCATATGAGGCGCCGATCTAAGAAGCAGCACACAGGTGGGACTGTAGGGTGGCGCACATCGGGGAGGCGCGAAAAGCACAAGGGACAACTCCTCTCGGTGAGTAAGAAAGACACGTGTGTAAGAAAGAAGGTGCATGCGCATACATACGTCGTGCACGCACACAAGAGGGTTGAGGGATTTGCAGGAGGACGAGGTCGAAATGAGCCAAGCCTGCTTGCTGCGCTCCTTGGAACCAAGCAGTAGTCAGCTCGCGCAACACGCCCCTATAACGTCTCCAGAGTGCGTGCTTATTTCAGACGCACAGTGAGAGCCGGGATGAAGATGCCCGCTGGCACCATCAGTCCAAAGGAAAAAACCGTAAGCAGGGTCTTGCACAGCAAGACGCAACACAGCTCGAGGGCGAGACTCGCATCCACGCGGTACGCGTCGGAGAGTGTTGGTCCTTGACTGCTCGCGCTGCTGCTGCTGCTGCTGCTGCTGCTGGCAGTGCTCATGCGGACGCAGAGGTTCAAGGGATCTGCCGATGCGTCTGCGCTGCACCGTGAAAACAAATTCTCTGAAACCACCCCCCACCCCCCCGCATACATACAGATATATATAGATATATATATTTATATACATATATATACAAAGGTGCACTGTGTGCAAAAGACCAGCTTTGTATCCAGTGCTCTATGGCTCAGCTTAGGCGGCCTAAACTCGAATCTCTAATACACTACGCCCCGTGCGAAGGCAGCACCGAGCTTCTGCAGAAGCCTCGCGGCAAGGCAGGCACGTCGCGAAGGAGCTTGCTTACCCAGCAGAACCGAAGAAGTGTGCCGCATCATGGGGAGTGCATGATTCACAACTGCAGAAATAGCGGCGACTAGAGCCGCTTCTGCGACGGGATTAACGGTGCTTCCCAGGAAGGCCTTGTGCAGCCGCAGCCACTTCATGCAGAGGCGTACAAACACGGGGCCTAGAACCCCCCCTAGAACGCCTAAGCATGCAAAAGGAATCAACTCCCAGAATCCATACGTGCTGCACGCACGAGCACACGAGCACAGGCAGGAAGAAGGACATGCACCGGTAGAGAGGACCGCGCGAATCGAGGGAGTCACGGCACAAAAAAGCCGCCGAAAAAGGTGAAGCAGCGCAGAGGGTGAAGATGCACAACCCTGCTTCAATACGCCTTCGCTAAAGCTTTAGCCCGTACAAAGTGTATCGGGTCGATTGAAAGAGAGTCGGAGCGGCCATGGGGTCTAGGCTTCCGAAGGCATGCATCGTGATAGCAGCGGAAACGCAGCAGCAACAGCAGAGCCAAAGCGTTCTTTGCGCTCCTGAAGGATGCCGATCTGCCCGAACCCCAGAGGCACCGAAGGTCCCTAGGCCACCAGCCATCTCCTCAAAAGCAAACAACAAGCCACCAATCGGAGCAGAGAAGGCGCATCCGACGCCTGCACATATCACGCATCACGCAGCATGCAGCAGCCCCTACTAAGCCTCTAAATGCCCGTCCTAGCACGCTATTCAAGTCGCCGCCGTGAAATTTCGCACGCGCGCACCCGCTGCACACGCGGCAAGGAGAATCGCATTCGTGGTTTCGTCTGGATCGGTAGGTCCTAGCGTCTGAGCGTGGTCGTGTCTTCTGCGATTCAGAGAGAGGCTGCGAGTCTTCTGCACAGCCCTCAAGCCGGGTGACGAAGCCTCGAGGGCCGCCTCATCTGTCAGCACACGCCTCCTGCCGGAAAGACACAGCAGCACGAGACTGCGACGAAGGGTGCACCAGTGGGCTGCGGCGCGTTGTCTGTAGCGTGTCCACGCCCGAGGAAGCGCAGCAGCAGCCCACTGGCAGACGCCAAGCAGAAGAAACCCCACACAGCATGCAATGTGCACCATGGGGCCCTCCTTGCCCAAGGACAAGCCACTGCCAACCGCCAGCGACAAGGTCAGCAACTTTACAACGAGCACGCGGGGTGACAGGAACGTGCTGTCTCGGAAGCCGCGCATGAAAACCTTTGTGTCAGCAATCCCTGCAGGCACACAGAGAACGGATCTCGCAGGAACAAGGCACGGCGTACCAGCAAATAGCCACCAACGCAGCTGCGGAGACGTCTGAGGCAGTCATGAGCTGCACCCTCATTACGAGAGAATCGGAACAGGAAGACAGACATAAGTATGTACGTGTATATACATGCAGGGGTGTACAGATAGATACAGAGGGGTCGGTGTACATACATCTACAGAGTTCTGCACGCATGCCTACTTAGACGCAGAGTACATATATCTATGCATGTACATTTATATGCGTGAACCCTACTGGTGGTGCACGCGGCAGTGACGCTTTCAGACGTGCAGTGGCTAATGGGAGTCGTGAGGACAGCACAGCATCGACGTCCCTCCTAAGCCGCCAGCTCCCCACTAGACGCAATAGGGAGGGGTTGCTAAAACACCTACCGGACCCCGCGGCTTGCGGCGCTAGCTTGGCAACAGCGGCAGCAGCAGCCGTGGCAGCACCAACGGATACAGCGACGAATCCAACAAACGCCAGTAAGGCTCCCCCTAAACCTTCGGCCTCAAAGAAAGATGCCCAAGACACCCAGGGGCCCTCGCCTACAAATCCCTCTGGCACGGCAGCAAGGCAAGCCCTAAAATGCGCACACGTACATGTACACACACCCATGCATGCATGCATACAGACATGCAAGTACAGACGTACATATGTACCTAGACACATATGTACGTAAACATGCAGATTTATGAATACCGAGCATGCAAAACATGCACCTGCTGCCTTTTGAACGAAGGCAGCAGCAGGGGAATGGCGTATCCATGGCCGACTGAGAGATTGCAAAAGATGAAATTTTTGCCGGGCCTTAGCCCAAACCACTTTCAAAAGAGGCGACTAAGAGTGCAATTTACTAATCTTCTCCTGCGCTTCAAATTAACGTTTACGCGAGAAAACAAAAAAAGTAACTTATGAGACGTTCTCGTTTGGCCTCACGCTTGAGACTTCAAGAAGGAATGTCTGCAAAACCCGTTGCGCAGGTCTGCGACGAAGTCGGAGCTGAGCTGGATGTACACCGCGGCAGCTGCTGTTGCTATACCGGTTGCTGCTGCGAGGATCCAGACTTCCAGCTTTGAAACTTGCGTTGCCGCCAGTTGCAGCAGGTGTAATAGCAACACTGCGTGCTGGAGCACATGCTGAGCGATGAAGGCGGGAGTTTTAGCAATACACCGCATGAACAGCTGCAGGTGCTGCCTCATGCCGCGGCTTCGCTGCTGCCTATTGCTGCTGCTGCTGCTGCTGCTGCTGTTGCCGCCACTGCCAATGAAAAGCTCCCACGGCGCAACCCACTCGTCTTGCAGCGGCGATGGCTGCTTTTGTTCCTGTTGCTCCTGGTGCTGCTGCAGCTCTATGAAGGAGGATTCGGGCTCTAAACTGCCAGCCAATGCGGAAGAGGGGCTGGCAGGGAGCAGGAAAGCGTCGGCATCTTTCTTCTGCCGTTTTTGTTGCCGCTGCATCTGCTGATCTTGCAGCAAGCTGCACCGCTGACTCCTATCCTGCTCCGGTGCTTCCTGAGGGTGTCTAGGCTGCTGCTTAACCAGTTGTGGCTGCAGCAGCTCAGAGCTCAAGGCCCAGGGAGACGCTGCCATCCCATCATTCCCCGTTGCAGATGTTGCGGCAGCGGCTCCTACGCCTGGGGGTTGCTGTCGTGGAGGACAGGCCGTCCGTGGGGAAGAGAAAGAAGCCTGCTTATCCTCCATGCTGCTGCTGGAGCTGCCGTTGCTGCACCAACCGTAGCACCCCAGCAGCAGCCACCTAAAGAAGGCGGAGTATACAAGAGATGGGAGGGGGCAGAGGGCCCCCTGATGCATATACCTCTTGACACTGAAGAAGAAGCATCAAGAGAAAGAGAATTGGGCTGGGCTGTAGCTAGTGTTCCTCGTCGACTGGCTGTGCATCGTCAGCAGCAGCTCCTGCACAGAGATTCGTGGTCCCTTTGTAGCAGTGCCTATGCTCTATCAGTGCCATTCCTGCCGTAATTGCCGCTGCTTCGGCTGCGCATACGTGCCGCTGCTCTCTAGTTCATCCTGCTGCTGCTGGTGGCCGCATTTTCTCCCCCTTGCCTCTGCTTGCCTTTGTGTGCCCCATTGAAAGCTTTGGGGACTTATGACGTAGAACCCGTTTATTCGATTCCTTTAACCAAACAGCCGTATCCGCTACCGCAGCAGCCGCTGCTGCCGAGGCAGCAGCGGCTGCTACTGCTGTGCTTTGCAGAGCCACACACGAATTTACCCCTCTGTTTCCACTATTCAGTCGCTTTTATGTTGTAGTTGGTAGAGTCTACGGTAGATCAAACCCATCAGCTGCTTTATTTTCCGCAGCTGGCAAAAGAAAAATGGACCAGGGCCTCCTTCATATTATATGGCTTGAGGTCACTGTTCACCTGGCACTGCGTTCACGCACGCCTCGCAAAAGCGCGGAAAAGCAAATTATTTCATTTTTTTCAGAGCGATCAGATATTGTTCCTCTCCTTCAGGCGTATAGGCGAAACACTTTTGTCCAACGGTGTCCTTTGCTGTATATCTCGTACTCCCTCCAAGCCAGACCCCGTCCAGTTACATAAATAGAAGCAGAATTATATAGGCCACGGGCCCTGTGTTCGCGTTATTCGTTGCTCAAGCTTATTCGTTTCCGTGGGATGGCTGAGAAATGGCTTCGCCTGCAACTCACGCGTCGAGCGGTATGCCACAATTCCTTCCGTGTTTGGTAGGGGGCTTAGATAGAAGGAAGCTTTTCCTTCTATGCTAGTTATCTTAAACTAAGGATGAGTGAGGAATTGAGAGATTGGTCTGTCCGTTTCGTACATCTTTCTCGGTAAAATAGTGCTCACTCGGCACAATAAGGCGCAATCTTGTTTGCATGGGCACTAGATGCTACGTCCAACCGGTTGTGAATGCTCGGAGCGCATAGAGGGTGCAGCGACGTGCAGTCTAGCTGACCCTGTATCCTCATGTTGAAAATTCTGAAAGGCGTGGACAGCACATGGCGTGAGCGTTCTTAAAAGCAGTCCACAACCTTCTATCCAGTTCGTCGGGGGACAGGTATCTCCATACGGAGACCTCTGATGAAGCGCTACATTCAGTAGCACCAGATAACTCAATTTAGCTATTCGCCGCTCATCCAGTGGTTGTGGAGGCAGTGGGATATCGTGTTTCCATATACTAGAGCTGTCTGCTTTCCTATTAGTCCATTCAAAAAACTATCGGCTTAGTCTTTGTTGACAGCACTCTGGAAAGGAAAAGCTTTTTCGGTGGTAGATGCTGACGGCTGTGCAACGCCTGTTGGGGCACAGGCCAGCCGACAAGCTGATGTGAACGCAGTAACTTCATAGTCAGCCAAAGAGCATGCTTTCTGAGCGGATCGATTTTTTCATGCTGACCAAAAAAATATCACGGCCACATGGACGGACACGTGGGGGAAGGCTTTATTAGTCAAGTAGAGATGCCCTTCGCTTCTCAACCTGCACCGAGCATCCTCGGCCAGTTGCACATGGCATTTAGCGCACCCGCGCATACCATTGCGTTATTTTGTATCGATCAAAAAGTACCCTGTAGTAAATAGTATGCAGGAACAACGAGACCGATTAGTAAATCGTACACTGGTTCGTAGCTGGAAATAAATTGAGGAATAGGTTGTAACTATCTTCTCCTCTCAATTTTGAGCTTCTAAGAGTACATCAGAGTTAAAGGATTTCCTAACTGCCGGTGGCGCATATCCATCTTGCTTTGCCAGAAGACGAAAACGATCATTCCTTGACGCATATTTACTAAAGAAGCACTCAAATGATGACTTCAATCATGCACAAAAACTTAGCTACCGGAAGGGATTACCACATTCCAAGCCTTAGAACGAGCCCAGACTCACTGGTTTATGTCGAGCTCAGCCAAGCAGCAAACATTCGGTAGAGGTGAGAATGCTTAAGCAGGAGAATCTATCAATACTTAAGTGTATTGTAGAAATATGGAGCGCCGTTCGCAAAAGCCACAACGTGGACTAGCAGCCTCGGTGTTTTCCTTATATTTACTGAAAGGCCATATCAAGTGGTCGCAGGGTGGGAATCGACTAAGCAAATGTACAAACGGCCAGTACAGCTTCCGAAATTACGAAGTACTTGAGGGATTAAAAGCAAATGAGCGCAACTGCTGTGTCTTTGACTAAACAGAAAGAGGCAAGTCGCGACCTCAAACCTGTAGGTACCGGGTTTGTGTCACCTAGCCTTAGCCTACAGTCTAAGGTGGAAGAGAAGAGAAGGCCAAGGAGAACCCGCGCTCTTAGGCTGCCCCCAAGAGACCCTTGCTGCGTCTGCGTCTTCAATGGAAAATTGGGTCCTATTTTCCGATGTGCAAGATCCTGGAAAACATCGAGATTGGGCCTAGGGGAAGTAGAAACTTGTAGAACAAAGAGTGCCCATGAGGAAAGCGGAGAATCCCCAAGGCAGGATGTGGCGTAGTGAGGAGAATATGGAGGCAGGAGCTCGAAGCGGAAACCCCACGCATCAATTGAGCGTTGCTGCCTGTGCGCTGACGGTCGAAATATTCCGATCCTCTCTTGACACTGAATGTAAGGGATATCTGCTATTGGAGAAGACGGCGCAGAAGTGCGGTCTGCACACCCGTTCGCAAACTCTCTAGAAATCCGGTACATAGAGGGGCACCGTAACCCCAGGATTGGCAAGGCTGTGGAGGTTAAGTGCCCTTTTAAATAGGAATTGGGCCGTACTAGCATGGTCTGCGATTGCACCATTGTCATTGTTTCACCAATCCATGGCGGTTCTTACTCTAAATGTTTCCCCGAAATTGAATTGCCATGTAGCTACCAACCTTGCCTTCCTGTGAAGCTTCAAGTCTCCCCAACTTAATCACGTACATTTTCGCACAAGCGGATGACACTTTTGGAGCGGAGGACCTACAGTAAGCCGTAAAGGCCTTGGCATCTAGGACACTAGAGCGCCCAAAAGAGACCTGACGGGAACCAGTGGAATGAGGTGGATAACTCTAAGCTTAAGATTTGGCGGAGGTAAGGATGCCAGCCTTATTGCCTGCGGGAATCTTTCCGGCTGTTTGCTTCACAACGTTAGTCGCCGTGGATGCCACTCCCCGAGATCCTGCAAAAGTCTCTTTTTCCAAACTTACGTTGGGCTTGAAATAACTTGCTTCAGCTATGGTTACTGATTGTCAAGTTACCCAGCATTGCTGATACTGTACACTAAGCTTTATACACACGCAGTCTGCGGTGTAGTGTCTCTATATTCTTCATGTGCTTGCTGTGATTTGATGCTGAGTATTGTGCATACACCATCTGTATTTGCATGTAAATACTCCCTTGTAAAGCGCATGCGCACTATCGAACTAGTATGTGGTTTGCTTTTCTTCACGTGGTTTTCTTGTTTCCTGTATCTCGGTGCATGAGGCTCATAGCTCAGCACTTCGATTACATCGAGCCCTCGAGCCGCGTTAGTCGTTGGCTTTGTGTGCGTGTGTGTGTATGTGTGTATGTGTGTGTGCCCTATTTCCCTTATTTCTTCCTTTGCTGGAATAAGCCAACTTGCCTTTCTGCTTCTCACTGTTCTTCGCTTTTTTGCCTGCCGCTGGAGTGGAGCTAGAGCGAGAACTCGTCCACTGTCCTGCACGCAGCAATCCGTACTAATACCCCTAAAACATCAGTAGAGCTTTCAGACATTAGTTAAGAGTAATGAAGCGCCTCCCTGAGCCTTGAAAGAGCCGGCGCAAGGGATGAAATGGACATCTGGTCTTGTGAACAGGTACGGCAGGCGACAGCATGTTTAAAACAAAGGAAGACATAGATGTAGTGCGCTGGGGTATACTTAGGCGCTTTGCGCTACAATAGTTTATTTTAATTAAGAATTTTTCAAATATTTGACTAGTTGGTCACACGGTCGTGTATCGTGATTGTTGCAGAGTAATATTTGCTCGATACAAGAAGACGCATTGTCGTCTGCACGCACGCTAGACGCCATCTGCAGCTAGCTGCGAGCACTCAGAGCACTTAAATGGCGCAGAAACGCGCGTTCTAGCTCCCTTTCGCCCTTCATGTCAAAATCCTGAGGATCACGGGTAGCGGAAGGCAGTAGCCCTCTTGGAGATGCAGTGAATATCTTTCTACCAAGGCTTGTATATATTCTTGAGCCAATGATCTTCCTATGGAGGTCACAAATGGAGCGTCGCAGCCCCCATGTCCAATCACCTAGCTGGTGCTATCATGGTGCGCTGAGCAACCCACGCCAACACTCAGTCCTGGAAATAAAAAATGCCCGTCTCGAAGTTGTGGAAGATCGGGTTCGCATTCAATAAAGCAAAGGGCTATACAAACAGCTCCACAAAGTGACTTTTGTACAAAGGCAGCGTTGCATTCATTTCAAGAAACCACTATTCGGTGCGCTTACTGCTATCAGCCGCCATTTCCATGTGCGGGCCGCATAGGGTACAGGACTGGCTTCATAAATACGTTACCAATACTAAACTGGACATGCCTCGGACCATGATCCACTCAGGCATTTTCTGCTACACAGATAACACGTAGAAGTACATGTAATTAAGAGAGGATGAACTCTTTGGTGCGGCTATTCGATACGATATTTGCCGCAAACTGGAAATTGATAAGGGCAATAGGAATAAACTGTGTTTCCATACGCTATTTTCCTACACGTAGGCGAATGTATGTGTTCGAAATGCTTTGCAGCAAAGGTAACCTAGCTGCATTCCCCCTCTTGCCTGGACGCTGAGGGTCTACGCAAGGGAGAAAGGGAGCTCCTTTGGGGCGACTTCCTACGAAGAGCCTTGCAGCTGTCATTAAGAGTGACCTAGCGTTTTTTTGCGTATGCCATCACTTTCTCATCACCTTATCCTTTTCCAAGAACTTTCCGCCGCAGCGCCCGGTGCTTTCCTCCTAAAACGTACCCGATACCAAGCCCGTTTTCCTGCGCTGCTATGCAGCACTCCTCCCTCATA